GTGTCGCTAATTGAGATCTCTTGGTGTTATAAGAATAACATTGAGATATTTGCTGTCTATTAGGATAACTTTGGATGCTGAAAAAAGTATAGTAACCGTTTTGAAACGTATGTTGAAGGTATAGGTAGAAAGATACATTTAAATTCAGATATGGCTTGACATAGTCTTTATAAAATAAGTGATGAATTGACACACATTTTAGCCGCAGGTAAAGAACGTGTTTTTAAAAACCTTGTACTGAAAATAGTAAAAACATTATAAAATCCCAGAATTCTATAACAACTGTTTCAGCAACATTTAGTTAAAGTGCTCTTAATAAGAATCGTAACAATTTTAATCTCGGCGTAATGTATCGCGGTGTCTTCCAAGTGAATGCACCAGTTAAGTACCAATTATAAGGCTCCCTTTTGTAAAGAAACTTTATTGTACACTTTACAATAAAATCTCATTGCATATTTCTTAAAGTTGTTACGTTTACAACGCTAAACTTCTAACAATGCCGTCGACAGACGGCATTCACAATACAAAGTAAATACTTTTATTCGAGAAATTAGCTTGTACAAAATAGGCCTCGGGATGGCCCTAAGTAAACCAGCTTTTGAGTAACAGCAGCCGCAAAGTATGAAGAAGCCTCCGTTGAAACGGTGGACAATTTCGCCGAAGGCCCAGACAAACATTCATATTTAATTCTACTTCGCCTTTGAACTTGCTTATTAGCAAACAGACCTCCGAAGGACCAATTTTGCACATAAGATTAAAACTTTTCGATGTTAATGTTTTATGTGCTCAAAGTCTGGACCCTTTGCTCCTGTTTTTACTGCTGTTACATGTGTTAAACTTATTTAAATATATATTCGAGAAGTCATTTGGTGTTCAGTTAACAAACTCTGAAACTCTTTGTCTTTTCAATAAAAAGGTTGCTCAACATATTTGAAACCTACTTAAGAGTAATTAAACCATGAGCACATAAGTTCTTTTACTTAAATTAAGTCAATTAAACAGTGAATAAGATGTATTTAATAATATTTTAAATTAAAATTGTTTAAAATTTAGTTACACACCTGATTTAATATTTTATTATAGCACTCAGATTACTATCGGCGGGTAAAACGAATGAGGGGAGAATCCCGGCGCCCGAGCTAAGCGGATAAAATATGAAATACATTTTCGAACGACAGCAAATGCGTGATCACATTAATTATTAAATATTTAAAACTAATTCTGTACTCTGCGTTCATTATTTCTACTACATTAACTTATGTAACCCTTCGCGCTTATCTTAATATCATATTCTGTTTGTATGTGTAGATTTCAGCAAAAACCCGCCATGCGGTCTGCCAGCGGACTTATTTCAATGACAAAGTACATATTGCGTTTAATTATTAATGAAAATTATCATATATTCCGTTTTAAAATGTTATCCGCTCGTGATATAAAAAGTTTTATGAGATGTGGTCTGTGCTGATGTACACATTATATTCTTTTGCAGATTTACTTTAAAATGTTTGTTCAGAATTATAGATTCCAATTGTAATTACTTCTCTCAACTCCGATTCGTCAAAGTCAGATTGCTTAATAAATGAAAAGGGTTGGACATACTTAATTGTCTTAAATTTGGTTATCTTAATACTTAGGGCCTAAATTAATCTCTATTATTAAAGATGTTTCCCTATTTATTCTAATTATTTCTTTGGTGAAATTGTTTTCTAGGAAAATTTGAGTAATAAAAGCTTTTAGCATCCGTTTTAAAAAGGTTTTTTTCACGACTTTATCAATTTTTTTTCGAACCAAAGCACAACCGTTTCAATTTCACCAATAACTCAAAAAATTCTTTATATGATAATCGGATTATAAGTTGATATCAGGAAATTAGCTGCTTTTGACAAAAACTCTAAGATGTCACTGAGTTAAATTTTACAATACCTATTAACAGATTAGGTTAACAGTTATTATGTATATGGAATGAAATGGAATACAGAAATGGGTCCATCTACCACATATGTATTATATTACTATTAATCACATAGCATAGAACAGGTAAATAACAGATAATTATATAATGTACCTACTAATGCAAAGTGAAGCGTGAAATTATTTAGTTTTTATTATTTATTAACAGAGTGCAATGTACTCATCACTACAATATGTTCAACTTTAATCAGGGATGTTCGTGTGAGCATGGTCCCGTTGGTGTAGTTCCAGGTAAAGCATCATATGCACTAACAATTAACGTTATAAGAGAGCCGTTACAAAATAACGGATAAGTTTGCACTGTAGTTACTAATTCTATGTATATAAATAATTAAAAAAAACATAGATTTAGGTATACAAATGTAATTACAAAAATTAAGTGCCTTTCTCTGTCGTTAATTATTTTTATTATTATATCTATGTAGGTATATTGTTGGAAAGAATTATCATATACGCATAAGAAACTTAAAATGTACATAAATTTAATTGTACCGAGTGTAGTGAAGCTCTTTTTTACGTACTGTATGTATGTAACATGTATATACTATAAAAACGAGTAAATAATATACAAGTCTATAACAAGCAGCCGCTACTTGCAAAACGTAAATGCCATGGTCACTCATTGTAACAGATTTTTTTCTCCTTAAAATATGCCTTATTATAAAAATTTATACGTTCTTGGATCGCACGGACGATTTACTTTAGATGCGGACACGCTTGTTTGTTGTTATCATTTCATCGTCCGTTATTTTGAAATTTTCCGATGCATCATTTAAACACAACAGTTTTGAGATTTTTAAAATATAGCATATAATGAATCATATTATTGTAAACAATTGTTATTACATTATATAAAAATACATTTTCATAACAATTCATATAACAAATAAAATAAAATAATAATAATAATAATAACCCCTCATTAACAATTCACATACTGTATCAATAATAGTATCGCCTACGCGTCTCTCCTATGAGGCCTCTTTCGCGCCCAATGTTAAGGTCAAATTACATAACTCCGTAGACAGCTTGGCGGCGCGCGCGCAGGTTCAACGACCGGGGCCCGCGCGGTACTAACTTTGAACTTCAGACCGCATACCAGCCGCTTAATGACCAGGCTTGCCAATTAATTCAACATTCAAACACTGATTTGCGAAGAACTATAAATATTATAATATATATATCTATCTCGATTTTGTTTAATATACATTCCATCGGTTTATGATTACGATGAAACGGTGATTTTATAAAGTAGGCAATACATTTGTGAGCTTACCTATTTCCGATGTAACGTACAATACATTACATTCGATATAATACATTACTTTATCCTAAGCCTGTACACTAATCTCATAAAGGAACCAGTAGATAAGACAAGGGAATCAGCCTCTACAAACACGTTCACCACACCCCGTAATTACCGTACCTTGTACATTGATGACAAGAATTAATTAACAGTATCGAAAACAGACGCCCCTCTATGCCTGACACCTGTGCCTAACTGTTTCACAAGGCATCGGAATTTACTAATTTAATGTAAATATTACAATTCACATATAATATTATCTCCCATATGATTGGTACATCGATTATAAATTTTATTACCTTGTTTTTATTGCTTTAAATGGTAAAACAGTACTATTATTACTTATTTCGAATTCTATGATTCTCTAACATACATAACGCATGAACTCAAGAATTATAGTTCCTATTATAAGTTTCTTTGTTTAGCTACAGTATCTTAAGGCACGGTTTATAAAAAATGTCAAGTAACTCTCAAAAAATTTATTGGTTTCTTTGTATTTTGTTTAAACGAATTGTATTTTTAAGGTAATAGGGTGTAACCAAGAAATTTCAGTTTTATTTTCACCTTTTTATACCTTACATAAAAAAAGTTCTGAACGTAAAATATGAATAGTAAAAATTGGCATACGTTTATATTGGAATGTTTTATTGATTTTATATTTATGTAAATACGACATGAATTTTGTCTGCCTGTGAGTTTTATTTTCTAATGTAAATATTGCGAATGTGCAAACTTAAATGTTCAATAAATCTCTGTTTGACAAACACGTATTTCAAATGTATCAATCTAAGGGTTTCTATGTATTTATATTTTGCTTATGATATTTTAAATATGTGTAAGTACATGAAATAGATTAAGTCGTTTGAAGTTATAGATGAAAACAATTGATGTCGTAATCCCCGTGATATCTCGTTATCCTTTACTTTATTTTTACCTGTTACAGACTAACGAGATGTGCGTAATCTCGCTTTAAACCTAAAGACATTTGCTGAAAACATTCGGATAGATTTTTGGTGAAACACGCCGATTTTCTAGTATTTTAACACGATAAATGAGTCTTATTTCTGAACTTAGTACAACGTTTAAGATTACATCTATCGAATCTTTGTTTTGTAAGTATTATAATGTGAAAAATATATACTTTCTCAAGGTATTCATTAATGAAAACTTTTAAGAATAAATTTATTTCTGATTTTTGATTATACAATAATTGAGTTCTTATTGTGTAACAATTACATATAATATGTCAATTTTGTTATCATCTGTTTTTTTTCTAATGTAACCGACTCGTCTCAAAAGAGTTTTCTTATTGTTTTTGTTTTGAATGAAAATAGTGCGCTACGTTAAAAGGCGCTTAATGCCCCTAAGCGTATACAATGAGCTTATACAGGATGCCTCTTGTGATGTCCTAACGAGTCCGACTTTCAGGATCAATACGATTTTGTGTCCATGCTTTGGATCATTCTTAATTTCTTTTTATCTTCAAAATCTTAAAATTTGATTTATTATGAAATATTTTGAAATCTTGATTTTTTTTGTTGTATAGCTGATTATATATTTTCTCTTAACTCGTTTTTAGTTTAATCTGTAATTTAAATACGAAGTTTAACTTTAACATATTTAAGAATTTAATGAAGAGATAGGAATGAAAAGTTTTGGAGGAGAAAACTTAGTTGTGGTGGAAATTAGCGGTCATGCACCGTCGGCGTTGCAAACAGTAGCCTCAGCTTAAGGCGCGAGTTGCAGAGCGGTCGGAGGCTGAGCAAGCGCGGCGCAAGCGCCCAGGTGAGTCAGGTAGGCCCGCCCCTACGCCCTCCGCGCGTCTCGCGCACCTGCCTCGCCGCTCAGTCCATCGCCACACGCCGGCCTGGCGACTTGTGCTCTGTGCACGCCGCCACTCTCTCAATACTCTCGCGAGCCCTGCGCGTCGTTTCTCGCTTCTCCCGATCGCTTAGTTTCCCATCCCCGCGATCGCCCCTTCCCGAACCCGATACGACTTTGAAACTTTGTTCGAAGTTCCCGCGCTCTCCGAATTTTACCGGTGAAATTTGATCCGGCCGGAGACGGTTTCGAGGACTCGGCGGCGAGTTGCCGTCGAAAGCTCGGTGGTCGGCCGTTGATGCGGTCGTGAGAGACGTCGGAGAGGCCTCCAGGAGGCCGTCGGCACGCTGTTCCCGCCGCAGCTTGGGTGCGTGTCCTACGCGACGCCTTGCGCCTGCTGCCCACCGCTGTTTCTACAGCACCCACATCCATTGGCATTGCCGCTCCCCCTTCCGTTACCCCTTGCATTCCCGCTCCAAACTCTTGACCCTCAAGTCGCTAAGCACCAGCGTCTGCTGCTCTCTAACATGGTAAGTCTATTAAACATTTCCCGCCTATCAGCGTATACTCGAAAAATAATGGTAGTTTATTACTTATAAAGTTTTAACAAATGGATCTGATAAGAAGTCTCATTGTTCTTCATTCAATGCTCATGGATGGTATCTTTATTTTCCTAGGTTTGGTTCTATGAAACTGTAGCTAATAAATAAACATTGTTCAAAAACTTAATAAACGCTATTCAATCCGTATGCGACATAGTTTCTCAGATATCTCTAAACTTCGTTCGGTCATTCGTAACTATTTAGAAGTTTACACTTCTCACGTATAACTCCGGAGTATTAATGATGTAGTTATTCTCTTAACTTTGTATAGGTACTAAACTCGAACCCTCATTTAAATGAACTACCGAAGTTTTCATTAACTTAAGGCACATGTTGATGATAAAAGTTTAAACTTTCCATACAATGTATACGTATGTGAGAATATTTTAATATTTTGAGATTTATTAATTAAAAATAAGTTTGTTATCAAATAATTATTTCCAAGATTAAACAAAAAGCTACTATATAAGTAAACATCTTTTGTTTTTATTTAGAGTGAGATCTCTTTTCCTATGTACCACCGAATGGTAGCACCCAGCCATGAAAGTAAACGACGATGACAGAAGTTTGACTCAAAATGGAAGTCGCATCAAACTTTTCTCATTAAGACCTTCCGTCAAAGGTAGTGTTTACGTTATTTTAATACTTCTAACTCATAAATATAATTTGTCGAGCCAATCCTCCTCTTACCTGTCCCGGGAAATACTAAGAAAACAGCTCAGTTCAAAAAATGTATATTTGTGCAAAGTATTGAATTAACTTAAAAATGTCATTCGCCCTCGATGCGTTTTATTAAGATTAAGAAACTACAAACTAACGGTTTATTTGATAACTTTTTAGAATTAAAAAAAAATATTTTTATTACAAAAGGAAGAGATAAAATATATTAATAAATTATTTCCGTCAGTTACATTTTCGTAATTTAAAAATTTGTTTCTACTTATCTAAATTTACAAATTAATATTTTTATATCAAAATATACATCACAGTTATAGAGTTCCCGACGAACTAACGGTTAAAAATGTTTATGTAAGCATTACCATTCTAAGCATTTAATATAATATACACGGGCAACCGGCTAGACGTTTAACGGCGAAATCATATTTATGTCTCGCTAAAATTAAATTTGCAGTATTTTTGGTATTTTATAATTAATATAAAAAATTAAAAAAGTTATGAAAATAATATTGGTTACATATTCATTTTATTTATAATGTTTTTGTTATTCATACTAACTGTAATTTCAAGGCCAGTGATTAGACTATGACTGAGACAGTGCGTTCACCATCTATGACTTCATTTGTACCAACCGCTGGAATGACAGTATAGTATTTCCAAAGCATAATAAAAAAATAGTAATATAGATTCTGTTAATATGTTCAAGAACATAGAAGTTGTGATTGAGCTCAACAAACTTAATACCTGTAAATATAGCTACAATAACAATAGTAATTCTACTTAAATGTTAAGACTATTAATAAAATCTCTTAAGCAAGGAATAACAATGGACAATTTTGGAATATATATCGTAATAATTTTATTCATATACCTACACTGAATATAAAAGAAATCACAACTCGTATGTAGCGTGTCGTCATTATATCAGTTTCACTGCAATTTCGCTCGAAAGCAGCGACTCTACTCGACCGCGCGAAACGGTATTCGCTACATAAGTATTTCATTAATTTTATGAAACATTCATTTTACAATATCTGTTAATGCCATACATCCACAGATTCTATTAAAAAATTCCTAAGTAAAACATGTAACAGCTAAAGCTCACGTTTATACTGACTCATATTCATAACTTTTCTTGTATTTTAACTTGGAACGTTTATATGAAAATTTAAGATGTTTTAAAGTTAGAATAAATTATAGATTTTAATTCAGAAATATAAAAATTTTATACGTGTCATTAACAGTCTTCTATCATATCGCGGTGAACTCAGAGAGGCCCCGTTGCATCATTTAGAAAATAATATTTTAGTCCGAGTTATAACCGTTTAGCGATTTTAGTACAAACAACTTCTATGTTCATAAATTCTTGCTAAAGTAAAAATTATGTTTACTCTAAATTACCAGATACATTGGCGTTTCACAAAAAGTATTACGTAAAGTATTACTGAAAAGTATTTTTTTGTAATATCATAGACATTGTTTTATTTGCATTATGTACTACATATATATATTTTGTTATATTTTTCCCAACCTGTGATATACATATAAAAAAACTATCCCAGAAAGTTACCCATATTTATTTAGTTTTTGGAATAGAATTTTGTGAACAATAACTTCAAAACTTCATACATACAAAATATGAAATTAACTTTTAACTCGCTTTCTTCTACACCTTGAGCCAGAAATAAATAATATAAGGTCATCGTGCTAGCTTACGAACCGGAACGGCCATAAACGTGTGCCGACTAAAAAACACTCTTTGTATTAGTATTTAACAAAATTAATCAATTTCGATATGTTGTCTATTGCATTTTGTCGACTTTTTTGAACATAAAAATATATTATTTGCAATAAATTGGGATTTGCGATCAATGAAAACTGAGTGAAAAAAATCAAAAAAATTTATATCTGCGAAAATTTCTAGCGCTTGTAGAACTAATAATTAATAATAATAAATTACAGCAAATATAAGGAAACATAAAGGCTTGTTTAGTTATTATTTGGAATTCGTTTGACGTTTATATTCCGGTTAAGCCAGCATCTGTTTCGTCTCTTACTAGATATTTAAGGATGCAATCAAATATAGCAAATGTGTAACACACTTCGATAAGATTAGGATAATTTGTAAGTTTTCAAAAATGCCTTAAAATTGTAGTGAAACTCTTTTTACTTCAAATAATTTCTTTACAAAACAAAGGACTAATCCAAATCTCTTAATAACATTTTTTGTATTTATTTTTACATTTTACAATAGAAATAGAATCTATTTTTATTAAAACACTAAAAATTTTATAAAAAAAATGTAAATGTGTAATACTTTTACAGCATCATATCCCTGTTTGTATAGAAATAAGCGAAAACTCTTTATTCATACTTTAAAGTAGCAGAAAGTATTTATTTCAAAAGTTATGAGGTAACAGATTAATCGACTGAAATAAAGCTACTAATATATTCATATCGCTCGAGGTGATTTAAATTCTCCGTTGCAATGGTAAAATACGGTACTAGACGTCACAGTAACGAATTTTTCTCTCTAATTACTCGGTGTCAGAGAGATTGTGCAGGAAATGCTCTCGCGCCGGACAAAGGAGTCTGCGACGTTCATTAATAAGATCCTTCTAACTGCAATTTCCCTGAATAAAACCCCGGGGCCTCGTTAAAAATATTAATATCGGCGATATACCCACCGTCTTGATGGTGACCATTATTTAAACCCTTTGTAACTGTTTAGCTCTGTCTCTTATATAATTTTATTAATTTGAACAACAACATAGAATTTCTCGTAAATCTGTTACAATTACAATACCTAATGCAAATTGAAAATGCAAGAAAACAAATTACAAAGACGCTATTTGATTATAAACATCAAAAAAAATAAGGAGGGCTGATATCGTCACAATGTCCTTCCTTTGATATAATATTATAATTTTATTCCTACGTACTTATAGTACTTAGAAATTATTTTTAATTTCACTTTTGCAACTCATATTTCAACAAAGACCCTTCTAAATCCGTTATAATGTCTTTATAAAAATACGACACAGCGAAGAAAGGATATAGGGAAAAGGTGATTCTTGCTTCTTTGTGCTACAGGTAATGAAAAAAATGGACTAGGTCACGATGACGGGAATTTATTAAGCTTGTTACAAGAAATTTGTTCGTTTTTAATATCGCTATAAAACTTCCACAACATTGTATAATATACGTAATAAGGTGACTAATAAGAATAAGAAATAAAATATGCGAACAACTTTATACAGTATTTTTAATCAACACACTGGGTATTGTTTAAAATGTTAATCGCTTATCGTGCCTTCATTACATAATATGACCTTAATTTTAATTTTTCTTTGTATCTATATATACATAGAAGATATGAAAACAATTTATAGAATCAATTCATAGCTTCACGTGTGAAAGACAGTCTGAGAAAATTATAAGGAAAAGGAAGAGCAAAACTAATACATAGAATAAATTAAGAGTGACGGTTTGGGCTTCGGAGATTGTACAATTTTATTATAACGCTCTATGAAATAATAAAATTTTTTGCACACCAATTAATTGGTTGTGAGAAGATAATTTCTTTAGTAGACCGAGAGAAAAATGTCTTTACTGCTCATTTCCGTATAAAAGTTTTTTAAATTGTTCTACTTTAATAGAAATTATTTCACAATTTTAAATTAATTTAAAATAAAGTTTGGTCTGTGACTGTGGAGTAGAGACATAGAATTTTTACTTTTGTCATACTAAAAGTTCATCAATGATATAGTTGAGCTATATATTTCTAAAACATGCATTATAAGAAAAAAAAAAACAAAAGACACACATGTTATAGGAACAATTACAACAAATATACAGGGTGACTGGTGAATTACTATCAATATTTAAGGAGAATACTCGGTACATGATTCTCATTCGAATTATGTAAAAAAAATAGTCACTTAATTTTTGACAAAATTTCCGTATAAATAAATAAAGTGTTGACACGTTCCAAGTGTTAAAGTGTGGACGCGTGCGGCGGCGTGCTGATACAACACTACGTCACGACACGCGTATGTGTGAGTGTGAGTGTATACCTAATCTGTAGGGTGCTCACACGATGCGTAATTAATTACATAACTTTTGGTTAACTTTACTAAGTAGTTTATTAATATTTATGTTATATTAATTTTTATTTTGTCATATATG